CGGTAATTGCGAGCAACGAGAAAGAGAACCATCTTGAAAAGAGTACCACCGGTTTGTTCTCGTCATCTAAATATCGCGTGTGCTCTTATCTCAAAAGCAATTAAAGCGGCGTATAATGAGAATGCTGCTCTTCGGTCTTCTCATTGTTTATATTCAATGGGTTAATTGCTTTTTGGATGATCTCGCGAGAGAGAGACAAGGGTTCGTGTTTACTCGTTGAAAAAATAATTTTTCTCTCTCTCGCTATAACATTCCGTTATCCCGGGATACCATTTATAATCCACATATTTTATCAATCAATGGAGTAGAGTGAAATTTTATCGCGAATAAATATCACGCGTGGAAATGAGGATCATGCAATTTCATGTAAAATTTAAATTAACGTTAAACCACATTGGACGAATTGGGTTGGTTTTCTCTCTCTCTCTCTCTCTCTCTGTGACACTGCATAGTGCGGCAAAATACGGCAAAAGACTACACGGCGCTTTGTCTTATTCTATAATGAGAGATAAACAAGAGCTCATCTGTGCTGCCACGTTTAATTTTCCGACTCCCGGCAATCAGGAAATTAACGTTGTCTTGCGAGAATTGCGAAGGTGGCTGGTCCCGCTTTTTAGTACAAGCGCAAATCGCAAATGAGAGGAGGATACCATCTTGTCTCGGGAAAGTTTGATGTACAGGGGAACACATATACAGATGCAATTCATATTATAACAAGATAGCTCGTTAATTCTCATCAAATGAGATCATCTGACGGTGCGCGAGGCAACTCGAGGAGCCGACTCTCTAAGCTCTCTCCTCTCCCGCGTCAAAAGGTAATTCTGATTGCGAAAAGAATTTCATCCGGCTCTCGATTATATATTTAGCCTCGCTACATTCTCTTTTTCTCTCTTAGGTCCTTTGCTAACGAAATCTTTCTATTTCTGCTAATTGCGTACTTTAACCCGCTTGTCTTTGTTGAATGTCGCTATTAGCGAATACTTTACTGCATCAACTGTTATCAAGAACTGTAATCTTATCGCGCAGTTAAGAGAAACAATTTTATTCACTTGTTCAAATTATTGAAATTTAAAAGTACAGTCTTTGAAAAAAAGTATATCTCAAGGTTCGATTAATATAATTGAAGATCTTGTAAAAGATCATTGCTTCTCACAAAAACGTAGCAACACCGCATAAAAAAATTGACGAAAAATCAGAGCTTTTTCGAAAGCTCTCTTGAATTGTTCGGGAAAGGGATCGCAAAAAAGTTCGACTTCAATCAACGGGATATGGCCGGGGTTACGCTGTATCTTTCCTCTCGCATTAACAATGGAACATCCGGCGTTGGTGTTTCGTGTAAACACTCGTGTGCCCCGACACACCACCACCTTACGGCATTCAAGCGCCGAGCTGAAAAGCCCCCATGGAAGCGACGAGGGTGCGAATGGCCATAGTGGTCGTGACGAGGGAAGAGCGGGCTCGAGAGCCGTCTGTTCTTTATTGCGGCAGTTAAACAAGCGAACCTGAATATTTGATTGGCAATTCCACGGTCTCACAAAAGATCGCGTCGGGACTGACTACTAGGGCCGCGGGTCCTCTAAGCGAGTATAATCAACCGCACATAATCAAACCCGCACAAATCTAACCCGCGCGTTTCCTTCCTCTCGATGACAGAGAAAAGAGGGAGGTTAGCGATTCCACGGCGATATAATCCCGCGGAATATGGGCGAGCACGCTAGTTCGCGATCGGCGAGCGGAAAGCTTGGATTAATCCTGGTGATCCTAATGAAATTCGTCCTCGGAGGATTTTCGCGAAACGACGGGCTGTAAAATCTTGTCGACCATCCTCTTCCTCCCTCCGGAAAATTGTTCAGCCCGGAAGCGCGAAATTGTCTCTCCCGGGTGTATTCTGCGCGTGTTCTCGCACCGGAAGAGCGATTAACCCGATGAAATTCGTTATCCTGCTGTGATCACGGAAAGTTAAGTGCACCGAGTTGAAGAAATAAATTACATCGTAGAGCAGTAAATCTTATCGTTAGATGTTGTGCGTTACAATTCCAAAGGAAATTTCATATTCTCAAAAATCTATGAAGATAAAATTAGAGTCTTATTTTTGTTTTGTCAAGACATACCGTTTATCTAAATTTATTTAATTAAGGATTTAAAAAAGAATACAATTGTACAAATCTTCATATAATATATACTTCACTGAACAATCATAAATATTTTTAAAAATTAAGATCGAGAAATAATTACAGAGCACTTTTTACCGCTACAATTTAAAAAATTCTGACAAATTAAACTTCCCTAAGGACACAAATAAAGAGCAAAAACTTGGTCTTCAGTTAATGTCAAGTAGATTTTAACTTTAGACTAAAAAGAGCCCTATGTAACTAAAGTCAATTTAAGACTTCTTTAATGTGAAGAGTTCAAGAGAGTTGTAAAACCTACGATCAACCAAATTTTCGTTAAAACAAAACGGCCTCTTAAACTGTTTTAAGAGACTATATCTTTAGTTAATGTCTTACAGAATATTCTGAACCATTATACAAGCGCATATATATTATATATAGCGTGGTGCATAATATTTCCGAGAAATACTAAAAAGGTATTTTCAAAATCATTTAAAAATTACAACTTATTTAACGATAAAGCGTAACGCGTGCGCGGTTTCGTTATAAAACGCTTCGGCACCCGTCATCATATTCTAGAGAAAATCGTCTCGCAAAATAGTCAACTTAATAAACATAATATCCGCGTGCTGAGAGGCGACCGCACGAGAAGTAAGATGGGGAACCGCAAAGTAACGTCAAATTAAAAGCGCCGCGGAATGGAGCGACGAGCTTCGACACGAATAAGCGAGACTCGCGGAGAGGAATACGAAATGAGAGAGAACCGCATGAAAAACCGATGGGCAAGCCGTCGGATTAAGGACGAGGATTGTCGTCTCTCTCCGAGGAGAGAAAGAGAGAAACGTATTCCTGGCAGAATAAACAGAATCATCTTATCTCGCGGCGACATGGAAGAGTGGCTCTCTTTGCTTCGTCGTGAATGCCTCGATAATATCCTCGCGCTGTTCGAACTGCGGACGAGCTAAGACGGATAAAGGCAAAGTCGGAAGTCGAGACACTTGTCGAGTGGTATCAATCGCGCAGGGGAGAATGACGAGAGGGACGGTTCTATTTCGAAAATTCCATTTGCAAGAAATATAGGAGACCGCGAAATGGGATCAAACCTCATCTCTCTCTTCCGGAGAGATCATCTTTCAAACTTTAGTAAACGTATAAGCTGTATAAACATAAGAAGAGCTTCTTGAAATTTGCACACACAAAGTACAGAGTTAAATGCGTACGCAAAAATAACATATGTTGAGTGTATAGATGTCTTATTTATTCACCGCGGCTCTGCAGATAACACTTTTAACTTTGCCTGCTAGAGACCGCGAACTCGTGTTGTAGAAGTTTTACGGAAGATATACATCTCGGGTATATATTCAGAGTGAGAGACAAGTCTGCTATCTAAGTCAACGATGCGTGCTATCAAACTTTCTTCATTTCTCTTCGAACACGTTTGTCCGTTCTATAGTTTTCTTTTCTCTCCCCCGATCAGTATTTTCAATATAAAATATATGTATATAGTTATTTGCTTTTCAATATTGCAATATATATATATATATATATATATATATATATATGGCAATAATTGCGAAAATCTTTTTTGTTGGAAAAAATAAATCTGAATATAATAATTCTATATATTTTCGTCACGCAGAAAAAGATTACAGAATACGTAAAAGCCAAATTAAATAGCGCGTAACAACTTTGATCGTTTCTGCTAATTTACTCGCGTACCAACGTCAATTGCTTAATTGAACTCGAAAAGGTGAGCTCGTTTCGAAGCCGATTAGAACCTTCGTCGCCTCTGCGACGAACTTGCAGATACGGACCGCATTTACCGCTCGACTGTATTACTACGCTATCTATACGTTTCAGGAAAGTCCCCGCATGAAAGGAAAGAGGAATATGCCATTAAGTCTTTCAAGTCTGTCAAATGAGAAAATTAGACCTTTCCTCCCAACGTTCATTGATTCGAAGACTTACAACTTACTGTCGTCTAATCTCTCGTGATAAATAAAGTGGGCGTAATTGCGTTTTGATGAAATAAAAATCACTTTGCAAAATAAAGGACTTTAATTAATAATTAAATGTTTTTTTTAAAAAAAGGTATGAATAAAATTGCACCAAATATAAATCGAAATTAGCCGTATCTAATGTACAGCTTATAAAAATATAATGCTTCAAAAACTGTAAGAGAGAGAGTATCGTAACAAGAAATTAATATATAATTAGATGTAAATTATTTTACTGAAAGACAAGACGATATAAATGACAGATTGAAAAATATTTTCCCATAGCATGTATATTACAGTCCGATTTTTTGCGTTTGACTGTAAGACAGTCGAGCGATAATCCAGACGGTGAACGTAGTTACCGGTCTTGAAGTAACGCCCGAGATTGGATATCCGGCCTGATGAAGGAAAATTCGTAATTCCCGACGTTAGACGCCGTATAGCCTGAGGTGGGATAATGCACCCCAACCAACTTGCCGTATTATGATAGACTTAAAATTCGAAACAGCAGTTTCTACGAGAAATGCCGAGCTAAGCTGCTTGCGTCTCTATCTGTAATCTGCACGCGTAGTTTCCCTCTCTCTGAGCAAGCATACCACTCTTTAAGAGGATATAAATTCAAAATTTCAACATTCTCGATTCAACTATTTTTTTTTCTTTGAATAAATACTTGCAAAACAAATGTATTTTTCATATATTTAAATATTCACATTAAATCATTCATTCATTCATTGTTACGCTCGTAATTTATTATTCAAGAAAATAATTACTTCTCAAACAGCATTTTAACATTTTAAGCATTATTCGACAGATTGGCAATTTGACGTTTGTATATATTTTAAAATTTCGATGTATTAATCAATATAAAATAAATTAATAATTTCTCACTCACCGATACGTGTAACAGCGAAGTTGTAGTACGCAGCACATTGATCTGAAAATAAAATATTCAAATTATGTTTAGATGTATATGCGTAATTTTTTTTAATTATGTACAAATGTTTTTGCAACTTTTTATCAAGATATTTAATAACAAGAATTATGTATTTTGTTAAAAAAATTATTAAATATATAATAATAAATACATAAAAAATATCTAAGTATATTTTATATATAATCTGATTATTTATTGAGTATTTATTAATGTGTTTATTAATGTGTAAACTTTATACAAATGATCTATATAACTATCTATATAAAATTTGTAAATTGTATAAAAATCTTAATTATATATTACAAATATTTTACGAGAGAATTTAAAAATAAAGTTTCTGAAATATTTTATATGCATAAAAATAGTAAATTTAATGTAAAATAAATTCCGCGGAGATAAAGCAAGTAAATTTTACCAGTAGCGAATTTAATAAATTAAATATATTATAAATTATATTTATATATGCGTACCTCACAGTTGCCCTGCTGTCGCCCGATGCCTCCCCGGACCTCCTCTCTTGGTCGATATTGCTCCTTTGTAACATTCATGACACTCGCGAAAATACGAATAATTACAATCGCCCGACACTTTAACGGCACTCCCGATTCGACACGACGCATGAATTGCACGAGTATTCGCATACATTGCACGAAAAAAAATGATGCAAAAACTTTTAGCAACGTCCGTTCGACACTCGAGTTTACCAGCAATGCTGCCTGTAACAAATAAAATACGTACATATATTAAAATACTATTTCGTATTGTAATATACACGATATATAAATATGTAAGCTAGAATTAACGCAATATATACATCCACACGTTGCAATACAATTGCGCGCGAAAACAGATCAAATTAGATTGGGTTACGTTGATCGTTGCCATAAATTTTGCATCGAATTTCTCGCGAAATATATACCCCAAATAATTACGACTACATATTGAAATTATAATATGCGATTGATAAATATTACAAAAATTAGAAACAAGTATACTTACTATAATTAATTACAGCGGAACGCAGATCGAACTGCCTGGTACGCGCGGCGCTTCGGTAATACCGCGGCGGACTAAACTACTACTACTCTACTTACATCGGCAACTTCACTCTTAATAACGCGCGCAATTTTGAGATGCTCTGCGAGATTCTCGAGCGTACACACGACTTAATATTAATAACTAGTTAAAAATCGAAGATGATTCAATCGAAAAGATATAATCGAGATTTAATATTACTTACGCACGATATATTTCATATATACAGGGTGTCCTAAAAATCCTGCAACAATAAAATCTTGAAAATAAAGTTTTTTGATAAAATGCTTTAAATAAAAGTTATAGGGACTTAATATTAATAATTAATTAAAAATCGAAGGAGATTCAATCGAAAAGATATAATCGATACGTAAACATGATACATTTCATATGTACAGGGTGTCCTAAAAGTCCTGCAACAATCAAATCTTGAAAATAGTTTTTGAAACAAATGTTTCAAATAAATGTTGTAGAACTTTCAGTGGCGCATTAAATAATAATGTTCATGTGATTATAAATAACATTGTTAAGGCCGTATAAAATTTACTTTGAAATTTTTTAATGAAAACTGTTTTTAATTGCACATTTTTGTAGTTTATCTCGAGAGTTTTTTATAAAAATCCTATAAAAAGCATTTTTTCATTCTGTGCTCTTTTTGAAGTATAATGCTTGAAGTTTATATTTTTTGATGTAAAATACAATAGATAAAATAGCTTGTAAAATATTTAGATTTCGATAATTTTACCTTTATGCATAAAATAATTTTACCTTTATGCATAAAATTTACCTTTACTTTTATGCATAAAATAATTAAATAAATCAATTGGTGTAAAAAAACGCATAGTTATTTTTAAGAAAATGTATATATATAATTTGCAACATATTTTTTCTTAAAAACAATTATTCGTTTTCTTCACACTATAATTAATTGGTTTCATTAGTCTGTATATGAAAATATTAAGATAAGATTATTGAAAATTGAATGTTTTACAAGATATATTTTATATTTCATATTAAAAAGACTTTGTATCCTTCAAGCCTTATAAAAATATTTAACGTTAAGAAGACTTTATTATGTTTTGCAAAACTTTTAAGATAAGTTTCATGAATATATGTATAATAAAAAATAGACGTTTCTCCAAAAATTTCAAAGTGAATTTTATGTGAGTTTAACACAATGCTCTTTATAATCACACTAATATTACTATTTAATGCATCTCTCAAAGCTCTGTAACTTTTATTTGAAATCTTTTTCTCAAAAAGCTTTTGTTTTCGAGATATTTAACTGTTGTAAGAGTTTTGGGACTTATGTATATATACACACATTATGTACATATATACACGTGCTCTTTATAATATAAATTACTATATAAATTAATTATTGACATTTTACACACAATTATTGTTTATTAACATTGTACCATTATATACATTTATTAAATATTACCACGAGATAAATGATCGTAATATATTAATAATGCGCTTGTTTAATTACGATGTTTATATACCGGAAAATATCCCTTCTTAGAGAAAAAACCGTATTCGTTCCAGCGAACAGACGATTTGTAATATTATTACAATGTAATCGTAAGATATAGTCAAAAAATTAGTTTTTATATTGCAAAATTATCAAATTTAGCTAAACATATAAAATCCTGAATGGAAAATTCGTGATGTAAAAATACTCGAGCTATCGTGATACAATGAATTATCGATTATTACTATCGCTTCGTTCAAGGAGCGTGTATAAGAGAGAATCTCTATAAATGAACAATTTCCATCGTGGATCAATCTCGCGTTCATCGATGTCGTTGAATAATTAAACGGACACAGTCGGATCGCATCGCATTGTTGGAAATCTTCATCGGTGCACTCGTTTATTCGTCGATCTGTGACATTTGCGACCCTGCGCGCGAGAAGTTTCACCCTGTCAAATATAATTAACCGCGACTCCGATTATAAATCCGACCGTCTGAAATTTTAATATCCGACGAATTCGCTCATTGCGGAAGATCTAAATATATATAATATCGCGATATCGATCGCGAACGTGTATGCACCTACCAAATATACCAAACGAATCGCCGCAGGCTCAGTTTTCGCGTATACGATGCTATTATAATTGCACAATATACGATCTATTTTCGGAAAATAGAAACACCAAGCGTATTAATTATTATATTAATATTATCAATTACGATACTATATGTATAACTGTGACTAAAGGTAATGGTGCGCTAAAGGTAATTAAACAGAAGATTAAAATTGTCATATATATATTAGAGGGAATTATTATTGTATAAAATCAGCGTAATTTTCGTGCATTCGAAGTTTGATTATCGAGAAATGTACGGCAATCGAGGGACAATTGAAAATGCGACAATCGCGAATATTTTCAGAGAACGTACCGGATTCAATTTCTGATCCAACTTTGGACTGCGATCGTTTGCCGAGTCCGTAATGGGCAAACAAACGCGCAAATGTCGCACTGGTTGCCGCCGCCTCTAGGGTTTAGCCCTTTGCAGAGAGTCGCAAAGCTGATTGCGATTATCTAGAAGGAGGGAAAGAAAATACGACGTGCATTTAACCGGGCATAGCTTCGTCCAATTGAATACGCGAGCGAGCGACGTGGCCGCGTTTTCGTCAAAAGCGACTCGGCGAGAGCGACTCGAGTTTTACGTGACTTTAATTTTCGTCGAATTTCATCGAGGTAGAAAATTGAAACGCGAAACCCGTCGGACCAAACCCTCGGCGACGAAATGATCCGAGTGTTTGAGAGAGCGAGCGTCTCGCTCTAATATTGTTTCCCTTCTCTTTTTCTCTCTCTCTCTCTCTCTCTCCCTTTCTCTTCCTGCCACTGCTGCTCTACCTTGTCAATTCAAAAGTATAAATTGCGAAAGTTCAATCTTTCTCGGTTACCGCAGCAATATAGTTAGCATGCAGTTCGCATTGATTATCGATGATTGCGAAACATTGCGGAACGATCAATTAAATATTTGAATGAAAATCTTTCACATGTTTTTTTTTTTTCAAAACCGGACCTTAAATGTAGCTTGCATTGTTCTCTGATTCTATAAAATGGAAGTGCATTATTAATATACAATAGATACAGGAATGATTTTTGCCATCATGTATTTTCGTAATTAAACTTTAAATTAAAATTCTATTAAAGTAAACTATACATGAAATTAATAAAAAAATGTGATTTTATTTCCACGTGGCTTACCAGTTTGCGAAAAATCTCTTATTTTCAATCGCTTATAACTCGAAAATTTTATTGACGTCTCGACATTTTCGTTAAGGAAAAATCGTTTTCAAATTATCTGCCATTAACAGGTTTACTACAGGGACACCCTGTAGAATGCAAGCAATTTTATAACATTATTATAAACAATTTAATTTGATTTTTTCCTAAATAAACAACATGTTGCATTCTTCCATTTTATTCTCTCTCATTCATCCGGAAAAAGAGTTCGGGAGCATTGCGCTAATTAAAATAATGTATCACGTTGTCAATGTAATTAGTTGTTGAACGCGTCGCATACGAGAGTATGTGATACGAAGGTAAATGTGTATTCTACGTGTTGTCGGTTCGTTTGCGATTCGATTGCCGGGGATGGAAGAGACGGGAATACGAGGACGGAAAATGGAGAAAAAGGGGGAAAAGCGGCGGTTTCCTTCTCTCGCGGAAGGAACAGGACGGCGACTATGCTCGAGATTTATCGCGTCGCCGTTCTCTTCGTCGGTGACAGGTCATACAGCGGGGGAAGAGAGTATAGAGCAGGGAGAGAGAGGGATATAAAATATCACGAAATTCCTGGAACATACCGAGCGGAAAATTACAAATAGTTCGCGGTGAGGCCGCGACCTAGCGCGAGAATCCGATAGTTGAAATGTAACGGGAATGTAGCGATAAAAGCGAAAGGAGAAAAACACTCGTCATGAACCTGCACGTCGATACCATCGCGCGCACATATCATATTGTAGATAGAAAACACGGATGTTGTCGAGTTCCATGTGTCCGCGGTTTCCTCTTTTTTTTTGGCCAACAGTTCGGCCAGAGATATATGTATATATATATATATCGGACGATTTGTTTGATATCGTGGGCGCTTCAATCAAAAATATTTGCGACGGCCGAAGTATCTACGTAGTTTCCGCATGGCGTAGTAAAATTTGGAAAGCCGGGAGAAAATTTGGTAAAGTCAAGAGATATCGACGTCATGAAGTGGCTTTTCCTTGTTTTCCTGTATATTGCAAAAAATGGCTCTCGCTCAGCATCCCTTACGCGATCTATAAACGACACTTTTCGCGAAATAATACTCGGTACCGAATATAGAAAAGAGAGAGAGAGAGAGAACTCTTGCGCGGTGGAAACTTCAATATACTAAACACACTGCATAGCCATCTCCTTCCCTTCTCCTTGCCCAAAGTTTCATCTTTACAGCCGCAATTTTGCACGTTCGTCGTCGCGAAGGCACGTTTGCATAAATATATAATACGAGAATAATGTACCGTAAAGCTGTAATCTTCGGATGCGGCAAATATATACGTTTGACAGTCGATCGTTAGCTAAGTGAAAAACAGACGCAGCAATTAGCGTTAAAAAATTTTGACAATTAAAACATACGATTTAAAATTCTGAATATTACATTTACGTTTCGATAATATTTTATTATAT